AATTTACATTCTGTAGGATCTCTTTTGGCTGCTCATTGTCTCCATAGCAAATACGATGCGGACTTGTGTCAAAGACAGAGGTTCCACAAAAGACTCTAATACTTATCAATATCCTGAGTAGCTGGACATGACAGGAATTTGAACTCTGCTAAGTCTAGTTCTCTGCATGGTACACAGTATCAAAAAAGGGGGGGAGCAAGAGACAATTTCTCCTCAAGTCACAGCACAATCTTAGTCTCCAAATGCTGATGAACAGTAACAACAGTATCATTATATATACTAGGGCTTAAAAGATCCAATCTGGATGTACTCTAAAATTGATCCTGGAGCAAACCTAAGTATACATGTTTGTGTATGCCATTTTCATTCAAGCGTTTATTACAAAGATTCAGAAATCAAAACTTTCCATATCTGGAAAAAAAATAGGGCAAACCATTTGAGTGTTAGTGCTAGTGAATTTGCTGAATTTTTGGAAGCCACCTCTAACTTTTCATGGATGATGTAAACACAAACACTGTTTCTGCTTGAATTTTATTTCCACCTTCCAATCGTCCCTTGCACAACAAAGAATACAGGAGTCAGGTTCTGTCAGGAATTGTGTTCTGCATTTAGTCGGCATTTTCCAGATACCTGGAGATAAGAATTCATTTTATCTAGGAAAACATGCAGAACCCATTTCAAAAACTGCAACAAATGAAAATAATGATTTCAGAAAGAATAGATCAGAGACTATTTTTTTCAGATTTAACTAGATCATTGGCTGGCACATGAAGATACCAATAAAATGGAGAAACTGGAACCGGTGGGTGGATGGGAATGGTCTAATCCTGAAGTGCTCTTATCCTAATTCATCACCACAACTCTAAAGTGCAGTAAAAACCCTATCAAAGAAGGTATGTTTTGAATATAGGTACACTTGACTTACAACCATTCATTTAACAACAAACAGCTAGAAAAGGTGACTTATAACCTGTTCTCATGCTTACGAGTATTGCAGCATCTCCAGAGTCACATGATCAAAATTTGAGTGTTTGGCATGTATTGACCTTCCCAGCTGGCTTCTTACAAGCAACTACAATTGGGGAAGCTGATTTTGCCTAACTGCATGAGTTACAGGGATTCAGTTGTTGTGTAAAACTGGATTCACACTTAACTGGCAAGAAAAGGTAATAGAATCAGAATTGACTCACAACAATAGCCTTGGTTAGCAATGAAAATGCTGGTTCTAATTGTGGTTGTAAATTGAGGACTAGCTATAAACCTAAATCTCCAAAGATGGATTAACTGTAATCAATTAATTAACTGTAATCTGTAAACAAGTACTGAAGAGAACTTGTTGGTCTGGCTAAACTGTTGCCTATTAAATGCAGAATCCTGGAGGCTGAGTGAATTGGTCCCTAGATAAGGGCATACATCCCTCTTTTCAAAAGAAAAAGGAGAACCTCTGGAACTAGAGATTGATTTGAATACCTAGGAAGATTCTAGAACAAATAGTCAATTCGTATTCTCTTAACTTGGCTGTTTTCCTGCAGATAGTTCTAGGTAACATCATCAATAATGGGAAACTGAAGTTTACTATTGATTATGTAGAGTAATTTGCCTTGCCAGTCTTAGTTCTGATGACATTTGTTGTTGTTGAAAGTTATCAAGGAAGAAACTACAGTCCAATCAAGACCAGGAGGGCAAGTTACTATAGATAACTAACTAGCAAACCAGTCTTCCATGCACCGATATTATTTAACCTAGTAACTAAGATCTACAGAAACATCTGCAGAACAACCAAGGATCCATCATTCTCTATTATTGGATATATAAGCCCCTTTAAAAATGCATAAGTTTCCAATGATTTGTCAGAAAAAAAGTTTTATCAGACTAATACAAATGCTAGGCAGATATTTCTCAACTTCATAGAAAGCAACTGACATTGGATACTATGGCATTATAATCAAATATGGGTTTTATGTTGTTTTTATTAAGTGATCCATAACTGTTTGAAAACTGTGTTCAAAGAGATAAATGGTTCCACATTTTAAAAAAATCCAATGAGATGCCACAGTCTAGTCCTGGGCCCAGGTTTTCAACATGACTTGAATGACTTGAATCAGGGGGTTGAAGGAATGCTTAAAAATTGCAGATGAGAAATACAATACTGTAGAACACAGTAACAAAATTCAGTTTTGACAGGACAGAGAAATGGGATGAAAAGAATTAAATGAAATTGAGACAAAGTATTTATAAACACATCAAATGCACAGACGTAAGTTGTGATGTACTTGGCTTGGTAATGTTAGGTATGAAAAAAATCTTGAACTATTAGTTTACTACAAACTGAATATAAATTAGTGGGCTATAAAAAATAAGTAAATGCAATTTTAGACCACATGTCTAAATTACAGCAAATTATTATAATTTATTCTGCTTTTGTCAGATCTCATTTTTAATATTATGTCTGGTTCTAAACATTTCACTTAAAGGAAGGATCCAGACAAAGGGAACGTATCCAGGGGTGGGATTCAAATTTTTTAACAACCGGCTCTGTGGTGTGGCTAGGTGGGCATGGCCATGTGACTGGATGGGCATGGCTTCTTCTTTTGAAGCACCCACCCACCCACCCTTTTTCGGCCTCCTGGGCCTCAAGGAAGCCTTCTGGTTGGGCGGTTTTGCTCCCAGAAGGCTTCCCTGGGGCCCAGGAAGGCAAAAAATGAAGCGTGGAGGGGCACATAGCAACCCCACCCCACCTCACATGCCCTTTTTGCCTCCTGGGCCTCAGGGAAGCTCCTGGGCAAAGCAGTAAGACAGTGAGGGGGATCCTGGCACAGCTGATCATCGGGAGGGGGGGGGAGAAATACCTTAGGGAGTGACTGAGTGGGGGAGAACACAGTCAGCGATGTCGGGCATGCCCACAATGTTGCACATGCACAATAAGGACTGACTGGTGGAGGGGGGGAGGGGGGAGAGGGTCAGGGCCAGCCAGGGTCACTATTTGCCAGTTCTCCAAACTGCACAGAATCATAACAGCCGGTTCTATAGAACTGGTCCGAACCGGTAGAATATCCAGATAGTGATAATAAAGACAACGAGGGAATCAGAAACTAAATCTTCTGAGAGGAACTGGCCATTTTCATGATGTTTTTCAAGTACCTTCAACAATATCACATACATTAAAAAGGCCAAGACTTGTTCTTTATCATCAGGAGATATTAAAAGGGATTATATTACAGGGTGATAGATTCCAGTTGAATATCAAACAAAACAAAACCTTCCTAGCAGCAAGAACAATCTGACAATAATATCCAGAGAAATGATGGGTTCCTCTTAATTTGGATGTGCTCAAATGATGACTAGATGACAATGAATTAGGAATGATTTAATATAATTCCTATATAGAATAAGAGTTAGCATCAGTGGTCTCATAAGCCCCTTCTAATTCTATGATTATCATGCTAGTGTTCCATGGTATGGATCTCAGGGTTCAGTAAACAACCCTTAACCTCCTCAGTCTTTAAATTATCAGAGTCAAAATATTGTTTTTTTTCCTGCATTATTCTTAAAGCCATGGAATGTTTTGGGTAAGTGAGATGATTTCAGCATCTATCATAGTCATCATGGGTTTATCATTTGTCTCTAATATTAGTCCAGGTTTTACTTCCAGGGGCTCCCTGAAATATTTTCTTAGCACTACCGAATTTCGCACTATTTTCTGATCCACTTTTTCAGGAGCAAAACCTTCTTTCCTTTTCTAATTCACCTTATTGTTTCATCTGCTCTGAGAAATACATGTACACTGTACATCCAAAGTGAAAATATTACCAACAGATAAGAGTTTGCTTTATGTAAAGTATTTTTGATACCCTGCAGAAATTGTGTCGGTTATATAAACAGTTGGTTTTCAGACTAAAAGTAGTGGCCAAGGAAGGGAAATTATGATATTTGAGAAACTGTTACTGAAAATCATAAGTCAATGGTATGGACTTTACACTTTTGGAGTAATGATTTTGAATCATTTTTAATGATTTCTTTTCCTTAAATGACTTGTGTTCGTTATTCTCTTTAGGGTAGTCATTATTTAAGTTGAAGCCTCATTCTAAGACTCTTCACTTTCAATTTTGAATTTATAACTGAAAAATGAGAAACTTATATCCATTACATTTTTCCAATTATTTGTGACCTCTGAAAATGAATGTCTGGTGCTAGTGTCTACATTTTCTGCTTTACCTCTCAATCTATAATTGTCACTCCCACGGCTACTACTATCATTGGCATTCAAGCTTTCTTGGTGTATTGCTTCTTAGTCTTGTTTGCCATTTTTACAGCACATCCATCCATTCTTGTCTGTCAATCATAAATATCCTGTTTCCATCAGTCTCTAATTCAAATTGATTAGAAACAGCATGCAGCTCCATGTTCCAAGAGCACAACTTTCCCCCCTTTCAAGTGTGTGTGTGTGTGTGTGTGTGTGTGTGTGTGTGTGTGTGAGAGAGAGAGAGAGAGAGAGAGAGAGAGAGAGAGAGAGAGAGAGAGAAGTTTGATATCTGAGCTTTTTTTGTTTTCTCTTTAGATATCAGCATTCTCCTATTTATTAAAAAAGAATGAAAATAGATGCAGTATTCACTCCACAGCTCTGGAAACAGACCCCCCCCTTCTCCTTGATGTATATATGTGGATCTCCAATCAAGATTTAGCCATGGCTACAGTTGCAGCTACCAGGCAACATGTCTACAGGTATCTTCAGTCTGGCTCAAGGATCTATTTTATCCCTGAAAGAGCAGCACAGGCTTTTGAATTCCCAGTTACTAAGAGTGCCTCAAGACTTAGCTGCACTTTGCTAAAGAGGAAATCTTTCTTTTAATAAAAGAAAGACCAGATCTTTAGAATGCAATCACCAAAGTTGATAAGAATAAAGTGATTCTTGGTCTATGTTTTTAGAACAATGAGGCACCACAATTTTAGTACTTATATGTATATATATATAGTTTTTCTTTTGCTACACTATTGGCTCTTGCAAGACTTTTTTTTTTCAAACTGTGAAGACCAAGAGCACAGTTCACTGGAATCTCATCATCTACTTAATTTTTTGCCTTTTCTTGTTTTATTTTGTTTTTTACAAAAGCACTTTTTCTGAGTGTTTTCCATCTGGAGTAATGTGAACAACCTTGATGATTGTTAGCTATACCCTCCTGTATATATATATATCTAACTTTGTGTGTGTGTATGTTCATGTGTTGAAAATGCTTGTGGCAAAAGCAGAATTGTGTATATTAGTTACAGATCTGGATACATCACATAAAAGTATATGGAGAAAAAGACTGTTCTATTTTCCAGTGTAGCCAAGAAAGTGTTTGGCATTGTCTCATTACTACTAAAAGGGTTGCTGTGACGTCCACTGATACTTGGAATCCTTCTTCGTTTTGACAGCCATTCACATTGGCCCTTTGTACTGGCTTCCAGACAAGTGATGTCTAATTCCAGGACACGAGCCTGCAGCATCTCCAAGTTTCCTCCACACAACCTGAAAAAGTACATAGGAAAGGCATATTAAGTTACTCATTTTAAAAAACAGAGATTAGGTACAGAAGGGTTTATTAGACAGACAATATTATCTAGTGTCATAAAAAATAAAAACAAGTTGTAGCACTAACAGCTAACTTCTACTGTATGCTTTATCTGGGATACTACATATCCTTAGAATTCTATTCTAATTCTATTCTCATTTCTATTAGTTACAATTGATGCAGGTTGCTACCATGTGATGTAGCTTTGTGTGCGTGTTTCGTAGCCTGGTACCCTTTAAATACACGGGCTTGCAAGTTCACAATTTAAAGTTATTTACATAAGTCTCTTGTAAGAGATAATATAACTCTTTATAATCACTCTCAGTGTACAAGCTAACTCCTCTTTGGAAATGTATCCTTTAAGTAATGAAATAAGAGTTGTTAATATTTTTTTTCTGTTGCAGTGTTTATCCTTTGGAGCTGCACCCTCAGGAGATCTAAATGCCCCCATTTTATTGGCCTTTCATAAGAAACATGGGCTGATTATTCACACAGGCATTTGGACCAGGGTATTAGTTTGTTTTTCTGGGGCTCGACTGCAAGAGGAAAGAACTTACTTGGATTGTTAAATACTGAATAATATATTGATAGATGTTGCAATTTCGAAGTGGAAACTAACATGGGCATCCACGTTAAGTTGTTGAAATAAATAAAATAAAATAAGTAAATTACACATCCACAGATTTTTTTTTAATGTAGGTTTTTAACCTCTAATGCTGAAAAACAATGCAAATGATTCCAGAGGATTACCATATGATCCGTAAAACAACAGAATTTTGAAGTCAAATTTCTGCTTTCTTTTGATAAATTGGAAGTTACAATATTGTTCTTCCAACTAGAAGATGCTTGATTGTTTTTATTTTTCTATGAATAAAAAAATTGCCAAACTAAACAAAAAAAATATTTTTCTACCAGAAAAAGTTTTATTCATACCAACTTTTCAACTGAAATAAACATTAAACCCATAATATGTCCGTTTGACTAGTTTTTAAAATAATTGCTTTCCTATCTTTAAGAATATAAAATTATAATAACCTTATATTTCATTATTGCTAGCCATCTTGGTCATCATTTTGTAGCAGAAAGCAAATCTAAAGGTGTTAAATCAATAAATATGTATTCCTATTTTCCATTCATTTTAATTACTTTTATTCTAATTATTTAGAAAGACATCAACTGATAAGCTTTATTCTGTTTTGTACATACCAATAGTTGAATGGCTTATGAATATTATCATTTTGTACCATCCATGATTCACTTCATAACAAATTGTTTTCAGCTTAATGAGAAACAGAAAATATTTTTCCAAAAGACAATGCTGGAAGATAATGCTGATATAGTAAGAAAGTGACCTCCAGCTGATGAGAAAGGACAGACTACACAACTGAATATGCAGATTAAAGGGCAGTCTGTTGTCTTGTAAACTTTACACTATCTGTGTGAACAGCAATGACTGTACTAAATCCTAAAGCCTTTTAGTACTCTGAAAACAATATTGTTATTTTAAGATGAATGCTATGCAGCAGGGGTGGCATACGATAGGGTTAACTACTGGTTCGGGATTTACGAGCTTCCCTGCACGCTGTGAGCCGCGCGCCTGTAAATCATCATCAGCACACTGCGTGCAGAGAAGCAGCCTTTGAAACAGCTCTCTTTTCCTGCTTTTTTAACTGCAGCTGTGCCTCGTTCGGCAGCTGAAGTTGAAAAATCAGGAAATAAAGATCAGGTACGAGCCCAGGTGGGTGGGTGGGTGGGCAAAAACATCAGCAGACATAGAACCAGTTCTATGTCTGCTGCTCTTAAGAGCTACTGGTTCTACAGAGATGGACAGAACCGGTAGAAACCCACCCCTGCTATGCAGTACCTAATTACTATTTAAATGCAATTTACATATAAAAGGTTGATTCTAAACAAGTGAACTTGTTTTTATGTGCCATTAAATTCAGTGTGAACTAATTCAAATTGTTAACTTGACCTGCAGATTTTAATATAAACTAACTGCAACTATTTATCTTTGGAATCACCCCAGAGACGTTATCATGCCAGAGAAGTTCATTAGCCTATGGTCACATTCATAGGATATGAACAACACACAACTTTTATGTGTGTATAAATATATTGCACGGACCTCCTAGCTCAGGGATCACCAACCTTTTGGACCTCACGGACCACCAAATTCATAATTTTAAATCCCGGGGACTACTACTATGAATTTTGACTGACAGTGGCTTGCTGACATTGGTGGGAGAGAGAGAGAGAGAGATTGAGAGATCTGATCTAAGCTCTCCCTCTCCCTCCCTCCCTCCCTCCTTCTCTCTCTCTCACTCACACACACACACACAAACACACAGAGGCAGGGGTGGGATTCAAATTTCTTAACAACCGGTTCTGTGGCCATGGCCTAATTTGTTGGTGTAGCTGGTGACTGGCTGGGCATGGCTTGTATGTAAATATTATAAGTATTTATATAAATATTGACTTTTTTTATATAAAAAAGAGCAACTTTTACCCCAAGCAGGCAGGCAAATTGAGTTGCTCACAGAATCACAAATTCACTTAGACATCTGTGTTTCTGCCATCAGCTAGTTGAGTCTGCACTAAGAGAGGCTTCCTGCTTTCTAGCTAATCTAAATCTCCCAGCACAACAGAACAGCTGAGGGTCAGAAAAAGGAAAAATAGCAACTTAGCATGCAAGTTTGCCAGGTAAGGAATGAGTGGGCAGAGAGGGTTCGTGCTGGCCATGTGGGCGGCGCAGACTTCTGTTCCTGCACAGCCTGGATTAATTACTCTGAGGGGGTGCTCTGGGGGTGAAATTTCTCAGTGGACCACCAAAATTTTCTCGTGGCCCACCAGTGGGCCGTGGCCCACCAGTTGGCAAACGCTGTCCTAGCTTGTGGGATCACTGACAAATGAATGTTCTTTTGTAACCTAATTTCTAGAGATCCTAGCTTGCATTCATAGAGAAAAGTGGGCACTGACTTTTCTTCTTGATTGCATCATTTAAAACATAGCAAAAATGGTTAGTACTGCCCTTATAATTAGCAGGGAATGCTGCACATGGTTTGATACATAAACACTATGTGAAAGTCATAGCTCATCAAAGCTATAATGGAAGGCAGAGGTCAATATCTAAACTGGATTGCCCTTTCCTTTTTCTTACTTCATGCCTTGTCTTTAGCTTACTATTTTTTTGCTTCTTGTCTTCATTTGACAAAATAATGCTTACACCAAAAGGAAATGATGTGATAGGTATGCAGCACATAATCTAGCACTGTAAAAGACAGGTTTGTGCGGTTTTTGAATCTTTTTCCTTAAAGAGCCATACTGGAAGAAAATCCAAATTGTTGGATCACATCTCTGTCAGCAATAATCATGTTTGCTTTTTTAAAAAAGTAATTACTTTTCAGAAAATAATATTTTACTGATGCGTATTTGTGCTGTGGAGCCCAGTTTGGAATACTGGTTAAGGCACCAGGCTAGAAACTGAGAGACCATGAGTTCTTTGGCACAAAACCGACTGGGTAGCTTTGGATCAGTCACTCTCTGTCAGGGAGAGCAAACCAGGAGTCAACACTGACTCAAAGGCACACATACAACCCCGCCAAAAAATAATTGTGCTGAATTTTTTCTTCACTGTATCTATATCTTGACTTAACAGATAAATAAAATGGCATAAGTCAGGATTATTAATAAGTAATTTATCCCTCTCCTAAATCAAAAGCCTGCCAATTCAGTGACCAGGGAATATGTTGAATGTTGCCTAATTTAAAGTACTACTGTAAATTGCTTCAGACTGCCCCATGGAAAAGAAAATAAACAATTTACTAACACACCTAAACAGCACACACCCCAAAATCAAGTTCACCATGGAAACGGAAACAAACAAACAACTACCATTCCTAGATGTACTAATCTACAAAAAAACAGATGGCACACTAGGACACACCATATACTAGAAGAAAACACACACCAACCGCTACCTCAATGCCCAAACCCACCACCACCTAGCACAGATAAACTCCGTGGCCAAAACACTAATCACCAGAACCAAACGCCTGGTAGACAAGATACACATAAAGACTGAACTATGCACCCTGACTAAAGTACTTACAGCTAACAGCTTTCACAAAAGCAAAATCACTGGCTTGATCCACAAAAACACACTGAGACATAATGGAGACCTAGAAGATGAACAGACCTATGGAACAGCTGTCCTGCCCTACATAAGAGGTACTACAGACAAAATCAGTAAGATACTACACAGGCATCACGACATCAAGACTGCCTTCAGAACAGATAGAAAAATAGCAGCCATCCTAAGAAATCCCAAAGATAAAATTGACCTGGAAAACCAAGGCATATATGAAGTCCCCTGTGCATCATGCCCTGCCACATACATTGGACAGACCAATAGAAGAATAAGTACCCGCCTGGATGAACACAAAAATGCAGTAAAAAAAGCTGGAATACACTTCCTCACTAGTCCAATACATTAAAGCAATAGGTCATAGCATCAACTTCAATGGCACCAAAACCCTAGCCACTATAGAAAACCCCAGCCATAGAATTATCAGAGAAGCCGTAGAGATTGAAAAAAGACCTGAAAGCATAAATAGAAGAGATGATTCCACCAGACTGTCAATTATTTGGAAGCCTGCACTCACAAACAAAAAAAATCTCCACACCACAAGCCAGGCAAACACCTGGGCACAAACAGATCCCCCCTGATACCTCCAGCTCAAACACACCCCAACCAGGCACCCAGATGAAACCTAGCTTCCTAATAAATGATAGCCATCAATTTACTCAGAGCCAAGCTGCACTAAAAGCCTCCAATACAGGAACACAATGTTGCCAGCCAATCAAGACAAAAAAAGCCACAAAACAGACAGAAAATATTAGAAATAACAATCAAGCAGAACACACCAACTCCAACTCCAAAACCAATAAACACAGA